CTGATAAAACTCTCAGCCAGCATGAAAAGAAGTTTCCTCATTCTAATAAAGAGCATCTGAGAAAACCCTGCAGGTAACTTGTACTTAATGGTGAAAGATGGGATGCTTTTCTCCCAGGGTCAGGAGCGAGGCAGGGAGGTTCCTCTCACCACTGCTGTACAGCATTGTTCTGGTGGTTTTCAAAAAAGAACATTCTGGTTAGAAAGGAAAAAGGAAAACTATTAACAGATGATATGGTTGTTTATATAAAACTTCTGATGGCGTTTATTATAAAAAAGCTATTAGAACCAATAATTTTGCAAGGTTGCAGGATACAAGATTAATATACAAAACTCAATCGTATTTCTGTATGCTGGCAATGAAAAATTGGAAGTTGATTTGAGAACCAATGACATAAAAAATATGAAACACTGAGGGATATGTGGGCCTGCATGCTATGAAACACCACTGAGAAATATTAATGAGCACCACTATAAATAGAGATACAGCGTGTTCATGGAGGAGAGGACAGTACTGTTCAGGTGTCAGTTCTCCCCAGACTGATGTGTGGGTTCAACACAATCCTAGTCAGAATCCCAGCAGGCCTGTTTTTGTAGAAATTGGCAAGCAGATCTAAGATTCAAAGAACTAGAGTTGACAAAACAGCCTCCAAAGAGAGCAAAACTGGAGGCCTTCGTGCTTGACTCAAAGACAGTTTTAAAGCCGTAGTAATTGAGTCCATGCATATCAGCATAAAGGCAGACAAATACATCAGCCCAGTAGGATATGGAGTCCAGGGATGCATCCACACATGCACTGTCAACTTACTTTCAGCAAAGGTGCAAAGGGGATTTGATGGAAAAAGGGTGTTTGTCACAAATGGTGTCAGAACAGTTGGATAATCATGGACAAAAAATGAACTTCAGTCCATACCTGGCATCACCTGCAAAAAGTGGTTCAAGAGGATTGTGGATCTGGATGTAAGTTCTAGAACTGTCACCCATGCAGAGTAAACTTAGGAGGAAGCCTGTGATACTGGGCCAGGCCACAGTTTCTCAGGTAAGAATTACCCATTAAGCATGAGCTATAAAAAAAAAAAAATTTGATAACTTGCACAGACTGGCAGAAAATACTTGCAGGTCACATCCCTGATATAGGACTTGCATTCAGAGCAGGTAAAGAACTTGCCACACTCGTGACAAATGAACAAACAACCCAGGGAACAATGGGCAGCCGATCCGAAGAGATGTCTCCAAAGGCCATGTAAACACATGGCAGGTGAGTGTATGAGACGACATTCACAGCCTTACTCACTCATGGGGGAAATGCCCACTAACGCAATAATGGGCTACCACCACTCACTCACTAGAATGGCAGAGACTGAGAAGACTGCTCATGCCATATTTTGGTAAAACACAAGTGAAATTTGAACTGTGCTGCTGGAAAATATACGACCGCTTTGTAAAACAGCAGTTTCTTAAAGTGTTAAACATCCACCTACATGTGACCCAGCCACTCCACGCCCCTGAATTTACCCAAAGAAATGAGAGCACATGTTTGTATAAAGACCTGGACATGGGTGTTCACAATGGCTTTTGTGGTGAGAGCCACACACTGGGAACAGCCCAGGTTTGCAGGTGAACAGCTGCAACCCAGTGACTGGATTCAGTCTGAGTCATATGAAGGGACAAACGACTAATATACGTCACAGTGCTGAAAAATCTCTACTGTGTGAGGTGACAGAAGCCAGACAAAACCAGGAGTGCATATTACATGTACCGCATGTATAAAATCCTGGAAAATACGGTCTTCTCTGAAGCACAGGCTTGGTGGCCGTCAGAGGAGGGCTGGGGGGTGGCAGGCAGCAGTGATTGTGAAGTGGGAGGGGAGACAGGTGGGTGTGTTCATTACCTGGATTACAGTGATCCTGTCACTGGTGAGCGCTTATGTCAAAATGTATGAAATTATACTTTGAGTGTGTAGTTTATGCTAATTATAACTTGGTAAATAGGTTAAAGGTAGTATTTTTACTTTTCATATGTGTTGTGATTGCCTTCATTGTGCACTGACAATCGAGAATTAATTCTCAATCTACTTCCTTAGCATGGCCCCTGAGCCTTTCTGAGAGGGCGTTTCCTTGTTGACATTTGGGGTATGGAGCGTCATGTTCATTCTGCAGCTCGGACAGTTCCCAGCCCTAAACCCAGTGTTGTGGAGGTGCGTTGCCTGCCCTGTGGAGCTCAGATCTAGAGAGCTACTCCAATAGAGTTGCAGGCATCTGTGAAGAAGACGAAGAGTGTAGGGAATGGAGGCCTTGGTATTGTCTAGAATGTGGCAGCACGTTGGGGAGAGTGGCTGCTGTTTTTCAGCTGTGGGCAAGGGTGCACATCTGAACTTGAAGGCTGCCTGTAAACTGGAGGACCTGCCTTCTCAGGAAGCATTCGGGATCATGCCCCAGAGCATCCTGAACATGCCTGACGTGTTAGGAACAAGTGGTAGATATTGTTTTTCATAGTTTTCTGAAGTATTGTGAAATGTGTCATTGGACTAAAACTCTCTTGTGTAAATTGAATACACTAAATTTTATCTTTTTAACACAAATGGTTTAAAACTGGAATTTCCCTGTTTTCCACTGTGCCTAAACAAAGCAGTGTATTACAGTTATGGTTCTCCAGCCCAAAGAATGACTGTGTGTTACGCAGTCATTTAGATAATACTAATTACAGCTGTACCTCATATCTGGAAGTAGCCTTCTTGGAAGCCATGTGGAGGTAAAGTGCTGTTGAGCAAAGTAGAGGCCACAGATGTGCATGGGAGCTTGTGAACTGGACTGGAGGACACAGCTTTGATCAAGGACGTTGACTCTTAGGCATACTTGTGTGGATGGTGCCTGTACCTGGCACCTCTTGGGGGAGGGGGAGATTGTTGTTGGACACGTGAAAACTGCTGGTGACATAAAACACGAGCTGATACACCTGGCAGAAGGGAGATAGGAGAGTGAACACAGTACTCAAAAAGTTCGGTGCAGGAACTAATCCCGCTGTGTTAGCCCCTTTGGAGCTAGGACTGTTACTAAGAGCAAAAGTCACTGAGTGCTTTTTTGTGACAGGTGTTGTGCTAACTGTCCTACATGCATTATTTCACTTAGTTCCCTACTCCACCTGTAATCAGGGTCCTCGCCTCGTTTGTAGCTAAGAACCTGTGGCTCAGCAGGGCTGTCACGTGGAAATGCAGGTGGGCTGGAACCCAGTGTCTCTGAGACTCCAGTGGTGCCTGTGAGCTCTTCTGGTTATTAACACAGTAAAACAATGGACTGTCCTCATGACCCCTTTGGGTAAAGAGAAGGGTTAGATGTCGAAGGTCTGGGAAGTAGAAAAGAACTTAAGAACAATTTTTATTTTAAAAAGTTCAAATTAAAGTTTTTCCGCTGAAAGATGTAAGATGTTTTCTAAAACGTTTTGCAAAACATTTTATTTCCTGCTAAGATAAGTATAATGTTGTTTTCATCAAATCTGCCTACATTTTTGAATAAGAAACTGTAAGTTGATTTTGTTACATCCGCCGTCTTATCTACTAGAGGAGTCAGTCTCTCTAGGTGACCTGCACAGGTCCCACATCGGCTCTTTGTACTCTGTGCTGTTCTGAAAGGGTTGGGGCAGTTAGGAGACACGGATGTTAATTTGTAACCACGGAGTTGGCTCCTGAGAGCTCACGGGCAGAGCCTGGAGCGGGAGCTGCAAGCGCAGAGCCTTGTGTTTTGCGCGCTCGCTGCTGTGTCTCCAGAGCCCGGCCCCCCACTTCTTGGAAACAGGGCACAGTGATAACAGGAGCTGCCCACTTCAAAAACACTGAATTCTAATCATAGCATAATTTTTATCTTTGACTCTGGATTTCATAAATTTTATAAAGATTATAGCCATTGTTTTGAAAATCAGTTTTAAATTTTAGTGTTTTACCTTTAAAAAGTAGGAGATGTTAGGCCAGGTACTGTCCCAGGGACATGCCTGAAGTTCTCTTTTTCCAATCTATTCCTAGTTGCTTTTTTCTGTGGTTTTCTAAAAGAGCGAGGAATATGCAGGAGAGGGAGAAGCTTATGTGAGCTTGCCTGCCTCGTCCCCTTTTCTTTCCCACTTGGGATTGCTCACTGAAACGTCTGTGATGTGGTGCTTTTTAAAAATCCCAGGAGTTGCCCAGCTGGCATGGCTCAGTGGTTGAGCATCGATCCATGAACCAGGACGTCACAGTTCGATTCCTGGTCAGGGCACATGTCCAGTTATGGGCTCGATCCCCAGTAAGGGGGCGTGCAGGAGGCAGCTGATCAATGTGAGTCTCTCATCATTGATGTTTCTCTCTCTCTCCCTCTCCTTCTCCCTTCCTCTCTCTGAAATCAATAAAAACATATTAAAAAAGAAAAATCCCAGGAGTTGGCTCTGTCGTGGGCTGGCTGTGCACCCTCAGCCTGTTGTGTGACTGGCCTCTGCTGCAGTCTTGTTGGGCGGCCGCTGTGACGAGTAAATGCGTTTGTATCATATCTGTAAATCACTTAGAATAGTGCTTGGCACATAAAGGGCTCAATAAATGCTAATTATTACATTTAGGGTTTTTATGAGGCTTAAATGAAATGAGATTATGCATGTAAAATGTTTAGTAGAGTATCTGGCATTTATTAAGTGCTCAATAATGCTAGTGGCTCTAATTTAAATATTCAGGGGCCCATATGTCTAAAGAGGCTGTTTCTTTGGGTGTCTGAATATGTCATATCTTTAGTGAATTTATTTAACGGCACAAGGAAAAATTAATTTCTATATTGTTTTTTACCAGTAGGTACATGTAACAAAGTTGCACAAACTTTAAATAGGTAATTACTTCCTGATTTCTAAGGTTAGGTGGTTTGTTAGGCCACTCCAAGTTTATTTTTACTGTTGAAAAGCACAGCTCTCTGACTCATAGCACAGCCTAGTGTGGTCACTTCTCTGGTGAGGCCTGTCGGGATCTAACCTGTCTCCGTGTGCCCCCTCTAGGTCTGTGGAACCTCGCTTCCCTCTTCTCCAACCTTTGCTTGTTTGTCCTGATGCCCTTTGCCTTCTTCTTCCTGGAATCAGAAGGTTTTGCTGGTCTGAAAAAGGTGAGTGGGCCGTGTCTGGGAATTAAATTCGTTAAATGGAGAAGTAAATATCATTCATGCTGAACTATAATATATTGGTTTAAACAACCATTTGATGGACTGTAAAAGTTTAATAACAACATCTTGTTAATGTCATTAGTAATATTAACAGTGAACTTAGTAACATTGCTTATGGAATGGCTCTGTGTGTCCACAGGGTCAAGGCTATCTTTGACCTCTGAGTGCCCCATAGGAGGTGCAGACCTAGAGTGTCTGTGGACTAAAGTGGTGTCGGTGGACCCGCCTATCTGGTTTCCAGACCTTCTTTCACTCAGTCTGAAGCTCACAGCTTTGAGTAGGTCTCACGCTTAGCTGTTGCACTGGGATCAGAGTGGATGGCTGTGCTGGGCAGTCACACCTGACGTCTAGAAAACTGGCTGTCATATATTGGAATTGTTTTTATTATGATGTATTTAAGTCATCTGTGTAATGTGAAAAATTACAGTTTCAGTTTGAAAAGCACCCTGTTCATAATTTCTTGAAGAAGTTCTAAGAAGTGTTGTTGCTGAGAGGGAGTTAGTTCAAGCCCTCCTTTTATAAGGAGATGTCTGAGGTCCAGTGACATTGAATGTTACTAAATTGTCCAAGAACCACATACCTGCAGTTGCAGAACTAGTGCCAAACCCAGGGGTTGCTCCTGAGCTTCCAGGGTGTTTGTATTGCTCTCACGTCAGCGCTGTGGAGAACACAGTGAAGGCCCTCAGGTGGGGAGACAGTGGGGACAGTGGGATGGAGAACAGGCTGTGGGGTGAATGCTGGAGAGGGGAGCAGCGGGGATGCCTCTGGAGCGTGGTTGGCATGAGGACTGGGGCAGAGTGGTCTCCTGGACCACCACAGGGTTGCTAGAACGGCATGTAAACTAGGATGTTCAGGACCAGGAAGAATGAGCATCGAGAGGAAATATGGCCATTGGTAGAATTTAGGAGCCTTTTGGTGGATATTCATTCATCTGACAGTTTAAGCAGGTACTAAGTAGTAATTACCATGCTGTTATAGGAGCCCGCTGGGGACAGAAATGGAAAGATAGGTCTCGAGCCTGGAAGGGTGTCAGGGAGAATTAGAGGCAGATGGGCACACGTGGAGAGACGTGCTTGTAGACCGCAGGCCGCATGGAGGTGCAGAGGAGAGCAGGTCCTGGTTTCCCAGGTCCTGGACAAAGAGGCTGACTGCTTGGAGCTGGGACCCCACAGAGGAGCAGGGGGAGGAGGGGGGGAGAAGGGGGGAGCAGGGCGTGGGCTTCCCTGAACCTTGGTAACAGCTGGTGAAAGGTGAGCTGCCTGAGTCCTCCACTGGTCGTTGGGATCTTATCCATAGATGGCAGGGAGTGGGCACAGCATTTCTGAAAAGGATTTTGTATCTATGTTTTATTTAAGTATGTTTTGGGATAAGCACACATGTCAGAGTGGAGACATGGCATCAAGGAAAAGTAAAATGCAGTGTTGTGGAGGCGCCACCATACCAACATGTCTCACAGCCTGGCCCTTGTCACACTTGTCACCAGCGCTTGGGCACATGTCCCTACAGTCACTGTGTCCGTGTTTGCTTTGAATATACGGTGCTCTCTCTTCCTGTCTCTGTCACATGTGAATCTGACCATGTGCAGAAAACAGCTGGGAGAGCTAAGCGTTAAATATATTTCCACACTTGGTCTCATGGGTGTATCTGCCTAACTTATGTTTTTTTATTAAAGTGTGGTGATTAGCCCTGGCCAGTTTTGCTCAGTGGTCAGAGCGTCGGCCCACAGATTGAAGGGTCCCAGGTTCAATTCTGGCCAAGGGCATGTACCTGGGTTGCAGGTTAGATCCCCAGCCCTGGTTGGGGCTCATTCGGGAGACAACCAGTTGATGTGTCTCTTTCACTTCCATGTCTCTGTCTCTCTGTCTCTCTCCAGCCCCCCCCCCCTTTCCCTAATGGAAAAAATATCCTTGGGGCAAGGATTAAAAAGACAAAACAATAAAAGTCTAGTTATGGGTTAACTAGATTATTTAAAAAAGTGTGCAACATAGACAAACCCCTCGCCTCCGAATTATTTCCCCTTCTTGTGAACTAACCAATTAGAAAGGGACTTGGTCTGATTTATTGGAGCAGACCTAGCAACTATCTTTAGAATTAAAAAAAAACACACAACACAAAAACTGACATGTCACTATTCTTGTGGTCAAAGGGAAAATCAGCGTGAGGAGGATTGCAAGAAGGTGGTTATATATATCTTGCACCCACAATTGTACAGCATTCTTTCCTGTAAACTTTTCATTCCTGATCTCTACATGATTGAAAGAACTTTCTTTTTGAAGTGCATCTTTCACTCTATTGCTCTTGTCAAAATCCCTCTGGCCCACCTGTTCCACTTTGGGACCGCAAAGGGGACTGACGTGGTGAGTGACTGACTGTAGGGTTTGACCCCCCATTAATTCCCAAACTGCCAGGAATTTAAAAAGGGGGAGACGGCCACACTCAGAATGGTCACCGTTGATTGGACTTGGGTAGTTGTGGGATGAATGGGGGTGTAGGAACCAAAGTAAAGAGCTTGGTCCTTAGTGCTGATAAGGGGAGGAGGGTGATGGGCTGTGGCCTGGGGGTTGTGGGGAGGATGTGAGTGCTGGGAAGGGGCACCGGGAGAGAGAACCAGGCTGCGGTGGGCGGGCGCGCGCAGTGACCATACAGGATCGAATGAGAGGAGGTCTCAGGGAAGGCCAAGCCCGCAGCTGGGACCTGGCCCAGCGAGTGTGAGCTGTCACTGCCATCTTCCTAGAGCTGGGCATTTGACTGGTACGTGCTCTAGAGGATGCCTGTGGTGTCTGGGTCACCGAGAGTCATGTGCACAGTCAGCTCCTCATTGTTCCACAGCTCTGGCGGCTTTAGGTTTGAAATCACGATTCCCACTTTGGAATAACAGACAGACTGAAGCCAAATCAGAGCTGCTGGAAGGTGGGCTTCCAAGCCTCGTTAGAAATGTTTGTAAGCTTCAAAATTAAGGTGATCCCGACATGTTATTTAAAATATTTATAGTCTTTCAGTTTTAAATCAGTTACACGAAAGTTTCGAGGGCTGTCAGCATTGTACAGGGAGGTGTGACTCTTTGCAGGACTTGGGATCCTTCTGGTCACACTTTTCTATAGTGTAAGGTCAGCGGTGTGACTGTGCAGGGTTCATGTGATGTGAAGCTCTGTCGTTCCTTACACAGCGTCCGTTGTAGGTTGTGTCACAGCCACCAGCTCCGCTTCATGGAACTGTATCGTGTCCACACAGCTGGCTGGCAATGTTTGCGTTTCTGTGTGTTCCTTTGAAGCCCTGTGCTCACTGGTGACGTTTGACACATCAGTTCTCAGCGATGCTGGAGAGAGCTTAGGAAACACCTCTAATTGGTAGATCCAGCGCAGTAATTTGAGTAATGACGAACCTGTAACACGGTTGAGTTAAAGTCACTTTATGCTCCGAGGCCACCCTCCTGGTGCTGTTTTACTGTGTCTCTGTCTGGTGGAGTCCCCAAGCGAGCGGCACATGGCCCTGCCGTCCTCCCATGGATTCCCCTGGGCGATCGATTTTAAAACAGCCCTCGCAGATTGTGCCGAGACGCGGAAATTGGCCACTCGCCACGGGCGGATGCAGAGCTTGAATTGAAAATCAAATTAAGCAGAATTCTCTACTTAGTTTTTAATTAAACCACTATGTTAATTCAAACAGGACATTTTAGGCCTGGGGGGCTCGCCATGTCCTTTTAAGGGCCTGGAATAGCCTTTCTTCTTTCTCCTACATGGCGTATGTTTCTGTTTTAGTGGCCATCTCCTTGCCGTTCCTGCTCTTTATAATTCTCAAGGGCAGGAGAATGTAAGTGGTTTTGATAAAGCAATTTTTTCAGTGAGAAGGCAACTTTTATCTTGGACCTCTAACTTATTGTTAGAAGTGTAATGTTTATCAAATTTAGATGGTTTCTCTGTCACCTACATGCATCGTATGTTCATGAGTGTTTGAACCTGACCCCATACCCACATCTTAAGTTTCAACTCTGATAAGAAGGTTGTATTCTGCTGGTTTTTGTTTGTTTTGTGGGAGAGACTCTTTCTCTGCAATTTTTATCTCGGTCACTCAGACATATACTGAGTGTGAGGGTCTTGAGTTGAGAGTACATTTCCCTGTCCCCTGCAGATAACTGTGCGGTTTTCTCTGCCACTGCACCTCAGGGAGACCTCACGATCACCTGGGTGATGTCCGATGTCCGAGGTGTTTTCCCTTCGCATAAGGAACCCTGAAGGTTGACCCTCCTGACCCTCCGGCCAGGGTTTGAGTGGGAGTGAGGAATGTATTTGTTTTATATCGTATTTTAACATCTTACTTTGAATTAAAATGTTAGTACAGAAAAATTCAAAAACTTAATGAAAGTGAAAAAAACCCTCATGAATGACAGATGAATTCAAAACCAAAGATGTTTGTGGGAGTAACTTTACACGATACCTCACCTTAATGCCCAACTTTGATTTGAAGTCATAGCATAAAACTTAACATAAGTGACAGCAACATCCTGACCAATTTCCAGGCCTCACAGACATCCCCCGATGTCCAGAGCAGAGCGCGCGGTCTGTGGGATTAAGAGGTTAACTCCTGTAACTTCAAACGGAGCGCTTGATAATAAAAGCAGAAAGTACAGAATTTGGGGGGACTTCCTCTCTTAATTAATTGGACTGGCCAGGTGGAGTGCAGGGCTGGGTGCCGAGCTGGAAGTCCATAAAGCGAGCGCCATGACAGCCGTGCACGAGGGCCAGAGGTCGCTTTAATATGCCTCTATCCTGTGTCACAGTTTGAAATTGTCCTGGTTTATGTCCCTTTTGGCAAACTTACATAAAAGTGACCCTGTACTGTATTTTATGGCCAGATGACTCCTTCCCCCGAGTGGCTAATTTGGATCAGGCCTCCGTCCTCAGGAGACGCAGCAGAAACGAGTAGGAAGTCCGCACGGGCGCGGG